GGAGCATGATCCGTCCGAGTGGATGGCAGCCTTGATAGGTACTATCCCATAGAAAGGGACGTCAGTGGGAGTGAGTAGGCTGGTAAAATCCAAGCCTATCTTCTTTAGCGTGTCTGCAAATATTATGTTCAATCCTGCGCCACCGTCGATCAGGACCTTGGGGACTGTCATGCCAGCTATTGTTGGACCCAGGATGAGTGGATAGTGGCCGGCATTGGTCACGCTAGTCCATTGATCTTTCCTAGAAAACCAGACCGGGTACTCGGACCAATTAAGGTACTTTGGTGTTGAAGGTTCTGCTGCCATGATATCCCAAAGAGCTAACTTCCCAGAGTGTTTGTTTGATGAAGTCGATAACCCCACAAAGATTACTGCAATTTGGCCCTTGGACTGTTGGAAGCTAGGGTCAGCGTTGTCATCTCCATCTTTGTTGTTATCAATTTTACCCTTGCCTTTGTTAGTTTTGGCGTAGAAACCTAGTTCTTGGAGTTGTCTGCACTCGACCGCCGTGTGCTTGGCGTTCTTATGGAAAGGGTAGGGTAAATTCTTGAGGTCTTCAAACTTCTTGTTATTCTTGTTAGACTTCTTGGACCTATCCATGGAAGCAAGGGTGTTGTCGGGTCCTCTCTTTCTGGCGGATTGTCCACCCTAATTACTTCTAGGGTCATAACCTTTTTGTTGCAGGCCACATGGGAATCGTTCACGAGTACGCTCTTCAGATGCAATCATCTTTTGTACTATACACTTAAATTCCTCAGCGGTCTCTGGATTGTCATTGCAGAATTTTTCAAACTGCCACTTGTATTTGATCCCGTTGGCGAAGTGATCTATCACCTCCCTGTCTGTGATATCAAAGACTTAGGCTCGTATTTCAGCAAAACGGTGATAATATTGCTGGAAGGATTCATCTGGTTTCTGTTGGCAAGTTCTAAGCTCATTCCGAGTACTTGGGTGGGTGAGGACACCGCAAAATTTTTCACAGAATTTGTGCCGAAGCTGTCCCAAAGTATCAATGGAGCGGGCTCGTAGTCTATCAAACCTGGCGAGAGGCACAATGTCGAGTGCCATGGGAAAATATAATACTTTGATGTCATCGTTGTCGCCTGCCAACTCGATGGACTGAGAGTAGATGTGCAACCATTGGTTGGGTTCTGTCTTCCCGATCGTACTTTGTATGGTTGGACGACTTAAACTTGTAGGGAAGCCGCACAGAGAGTAGTTTGTCAAAGAAATATGGGAACCTATCCAGCGGGATACCGGCTTCTCTGTACTTGGACTCGCCTTTGCCTTCCCTGTTGCTGTACTGGTGCCCTTGATAGGCTGACTACGCGGCACCCTGATTCCTGTTCTGGTTACCCTGCGGTCCTAGATGGGAGTGGGCTGGTACTCATTGTTCTCCTCCTTGGTTACCCTACGGTCCAAGATGAGAGTGGGCTGATGCCCACGTCTCTGGTCCTCGGGAAGGGTTAGCTTGAGATGTCGCTTTTGAAGCCTGCATCTGAAGGGCTATTGATTCCAAAATGACTTTGAGTCATTGTTGATCTAGAGTAGGGTTTTCTATGGCCGCCATCTCCTCTACCAGGGCATAGACGTTGGCGTAGGGCATGGTAAAGACCCTGTGGCTAGCTACTTCCATGAATTTAGGCTCAAGGTTGCGTGATGCAGAGGCTCTGACGGCATCATGGTCTTGGCATTGTCGTTCTGCTTCTTTATCCCGTAGACGCTATTCATACGTTGCCTCTGCAGCCAAGCGCCATCATTCAACGTCTTGACAAGCCGATTGATACCACTGCCACTCTTCCTTGTGGTGTTGGGCGCGGTTACGTCGAGCCTGTCGATTGTATTCTTCCTTTCCCTAGCTGTCTTCTGCTCATCCGTCTCTCCGTTGGGTGGCGCAGTGTCTAGGACGATGTCAGATAAGGTTTCCTCTCCACCTTGGATATCTAGTGGGTTAGGCATAGGGATCTGAGGTGGTTGCCCAGCCATGAAGACTTCTCTAGAGTGCTTCATGGCCGAGTGAGTTCCAGATTCTACAGTCGCCGCAATGTCCAAGATCTCTATAGAATCATGATCGTTGTTGTCCGCTGGAAGAGTGATGCTGTCCTAATAAGGCAAGAGCTCCACCATGCCGACTAGACGAGATGTATCTGTTAAAGAAGTGTCGGGTCGAGCACCTGGCCAATGGACGATGCCTCCTTTGGGTGTGATGGATAGAACCAATCCTCTTTGGGCACCCGCAAGAGGGATTTCTTGCTTAGACTGCACGAGGTGGCTGATCGTATCTTGATAGATTGAAGCCAAATTCTTGAGTCTGAGTGGAAAACGACTGGGTCTTTGAGTTGGACTTCAGATGGGATCTCCAACCTGGACAAAAGTGGCGTGTTTGAGCGGGAGTCATGGTTGGTGGTGACCTCTTGAGTTTGAGTTAAATTGGAAATTGAGAGGTACGAAAACTTCTTGGCGAGTTGATCTAGTGTGATCGTTGAGACATCTGGTGAAGCTTGAGGCGCCGGGATCTCCATGAGACTACTCTGGAGCTTGCCGTTGTCGTCTGCCTTGCAGATCCAGGAGCCAAAGATGAAGGTGGTTCCTGCTGAGAAAATCATGTTGTCGAGGTCCGCCGAGCTCTCGATCGCGAAGTCGCCAAAAGCCCTACCTGGCGCGCCAGCTATCGGTGCTTGATGACCGGCAACTCGTCACGGGGTTACCCCGGACGATGTTCGAAGGGCTTCGGCGTACGCAGAACTCGACAGAAAACGCAAAGAGATGAATGATTTATACTAGTTCGGGCCCTCTTGTCGAGTAATAGCCTTACGTCCAGTCGGCGTGTAGCCTTTTGCGTTGGATTAATTGGTATGATTGTTAAGGTTACAAGGGGGTGCGCCGTACCTCTCTTTATATAGGGGAGAGGGTAAGGGCACGTATCTAGTCCTAGTCGGTTACAAGAGAAGAGTCCTAATCCTATTACAGAATCTAGCTTTCATAGTAAACCGACTAAGTCGATCTGGAATAGTTTGAAGTCCACGCTACAATGTCTCACGTCCTTCAACAGATCGTGGGTCATCCCAGAGCCCATCCAGGTAGAACTCCCGTGGGGAACCTCTAAGACCCTGGTCCGTCAACTACCGAGAGATGATTCACGGCCTTTACATTTCCTATGCCGGATCACTCTCCTCTTCAAAATAACTTTCAATGACAATGTGTCCTGAAAATGAAATAAGAGGAGAAGCTATATGAATGGTAACATAAATAAAATAAGAAATATGGATCTCATAGTGGTGCTGCCACCATATAGCTTCCTTCAGATCGACATAGGGCATGCCCCTTTCTACTTTAAGATAGTCATTGGATGTATAATTTGTTTCTTAGTTATACATTACAAAATAATCATGTAATTTCTACATGATTTCTTTACTGGCCCCGTTGGATTTAGTCCCAACCTCTACCACTGCTTACACATGGTTAGTGTAGAAGTGATTGCAACCTGTCCTGGAAAGCAAGCCTTTGGTTTAACAGTCCTGTAATGGTTCACGTGCCTGCTGATAATTAGGCCTCTACGTGACTTTGTTATTCTCAAGGTCTATCCATCTACTCTTATATATGTAGGCGTTACGTGCAAGTCTGTGGTTGTTTAAAATTAACCATTGTAATTTTAGTTAATTCCTTTGTCTGATAATCGATTTATAGTTTTTTCATAGTATAACCAGTTTATTATAGTTGATACATGGAGGTCCATGCAGTCAGGGCTCAAGGGTATCTCCACCAATCTTCCAATAATCTGTCTTCTAATAATTAGGTATTGTGGTAGCCCAATGTTATTTTTATTTGGAGAGTTGCTATAGCGGTATACAACATCTCTCTCAATATCCATATAAAAGATGGAGCTTACATGTGTGTATAGGGAAAAAGATGGATGAAAAGTTGTGGTTGGGATGGGTCCATACCATTGGCGGAGATACAGTCGGCTTTATTTAAAGGGAGATGATGAAAAAATTGGTAAATATTGGTGATAAATAAGGTATATTGAAAAAATGTTGGAGAAAAAAAAAAATCACAGATCCGCCGCCGCCGCCACCGCCACTGCCATGGGGCGAGCTCGCTGGTCGCCGTCGCCGGCGCCGAGTGGTCACCGGTGAGAAAGAGAGAGGGAGAGAGATAAAAAAAATTCATGTGTTTTTTTTTTCTAAAACACATGTACGTCAACCATGTGTTTTATGCAGTTTCAACACATGAATTTTTTTACATCATAGGACTAAGATCCAACAGCCTCCACCTTTCTTCTACCTCCAGCTCTCACAGATCACAGATCATGGATCGCAATTTTTTTTTCTATGGAAGCGGCGGCGCCGGCGCCGGTGGCCACCGGTGAGAAAGATAGAGGGAAAGAGATAAAAAAAAATCCATATGTTTTTTCGTGCTAAAATAAACGTGTGTTGTATAGCATTTAAAAAAAAAAAGCTGCTGGAGAGTGGAGATGCTTAACTAATCTTAAACAGAGTCACGAAAAAGACGGCAATGAGCCCCATTCATCCCATCCTTCTTCCATCATTCGATCACACACACCACCAAAGGGTCCAAAGCACACAAGACAACCGCAAGGCAACAACAGCAGCAGAGGAACCTCGCCGGCCGCACCAGGGCACCACTCCATCTCTGATCTCCCGCCCATTCTCATTCGTTCCCCTCGCGTCGCGTTGCGTGATTCGATCGGATTCTGTTCCTCCGCCCCGTTCCGTTCCGTCCGGGCCGCTGCCGCTGCGGCTGCGGCTGCGCCCAGGCCCCAGCGAGCCCCCGGCCGCGACCCCGACCCCCAAAGGCTGCGGCCGTCGCAGTCCCATCGATTCCTCCCGCTTCGCTTTCCCACCCCTCGAAGCCGAATCCGATGGTTCCACCCGTTGACCGCCTCCGCCATCGGAGGCCGCGCCGCCTCCTCCCCGCCTCCTCCCTCGGTCCCCGCGCCCGCCTCCTCCTATAGATATACCGCCCGCGCATCGCGCCCCATGGCGGTCGGCGGCGACGACGACAGCATGGAGCGGGACTTCGCCGCCAGGCTGCGCCTCGCGCATTCGCCCTCCCCGGCCACGCCTGCCGCCGCCTCCTCCCCCACCGCCGCCGGGGGCATCGCCTTCCGCGCGCCGCAGGAGCAGTTCACCGCCGACGACTTCGTACTCGGCAAGATCTACGGCGTCGGCTCGTACTCCAAGGTTCTCTTACTGCTACTCGCTTGCCGTGGCCTGCGCGGCCGCCTGGATCGTGGGAATTGCGGTTATTCACCGAGGTTGGGACGATGAAAAAAATGGCAGGTGGTGCGGGCCAAGAAGAAGGACACGGGCCGCGTCTACGCGCTCAAGATCATGGACAAGAAGTTCATCACCAAGGAGAACAAGATCTCCTACGTCAAGATGGAGCGCATCGTGCTCGACCAGCTCGACCACCCGGGCGTCATCAGGCTCTTCTTCACTTTCCAGGACACATACTCCCTCTGTTAGTGCCCCTCCTCAACCAACCAGCAGTAGTCAGAACTAACGGTGAAGAGCTACTAATTTGATTGTAAAGTAATGCCGCCCTTCGATCAATACCATGTCTCTTTTGCCGTGTAGACATGGCGCTCGAGTCGTGCGAAGGCGGGGAGTTGTTCGACCAAATTGTCCGGGTTAGTGTCCAGCTGCTTACAATGTGGTTCAACAGCTGCTTACAATGTGGTTCATTCCCGTTCTGCCTTTGCTGCTTCTGCTCATAATTTGGTTGCAGAAAGGTCGTCTCTCTGAGGACGATGCACGGTTTTATGCTGCTGAAATCGTCGATATACTGGAGTATTTGCATAGCGTCGGCTTAATTCATCGGGACGTCAAGGTAGGTGTGAAATGAAAATCAGGATGGAGTTGCTCATGACGCTTTATGTGTATGTCGTATTTGATTTGATATTTGACAAGGACTGCATTGGTCTTTCAGCCAGAAAATCTACTGCTTACTTCTGATGGCCACATCAAGATTGCTGACTTTGGTAGTGTCAAGCCTACAAGGGATACTCCAATCAAAGTTCTCCCAAATTCAACTAGTAAGACGAAACATAAGCTGCCCTGAATCATCATAAAATTCTGAATATCATGCTTTTTAATTTTTGTTTTCCCAATGTTTGTCTACAGATGAAAGGGCCTGTACATTTGTTGGAACCGCCGCATATGTACCACCTGAGGTCCTGAACTCTGCACCAGCAACCTGTGGGTGAGTAAACCTACATCTGATAAACCCACAACAAATCATTACTAGTAGGAAGATCTGTTTTCCTTCATTATACTCAAAGTATTTGTTTATCATACATGTATGTTTCTATATATGTGAGTTATTTACTGGACTATCAAGAATCAGCATCACACTTTTACTGACAACACTAGATACGTGAGATATTCAGACTGCATTGTCCTCACAGTCATCAGTAATCTAAATGCACATTCGTGCATAAGATGTGACTTAAAGGTCTGGTTGCTCACATTGCTAGAAACATTCATTGCCCAAGAGATGAATGCATGCCTGGAAACTGCACTTTGTGGTGATATGAGCAAAAAATATAGACTGATACTTATTGTACTATGAACTTCATCACAGAAATGATTTATGGGCATTGGGATGCACGCTGTACCAAATGCTTTCTGGTTCTTCGCCGTTTAAAGATGCCAGTGAGTGGTTAATTTTCCAGAGAATCATTGCAAGGGACCTCAAATTTCCAGAGTATTTTTCAGCTGAAGCAAGAGATCTTATTGACAAATTGCTGGTATGTATACAAATACCTATTGCTTCTATGGATCATGTGCACAAGTTCCTCATTTATTATTCATGCAAAGCGTCCTATAATTTGGAATGGAGGGAGTAACAAGGATGGTAAGAAATAAATAAAGTAGCCTAGCCAGGCTTTGCCAGGGCTATCTCTAGTTTGGTAATAGAAACTGCAAGTGTATGTAAGTCAGATTCTGGAAAATCAGTAGATGCTCATTTATGCTTACTGTCCAAACACAATGGTGACTGATTTTCTTTTAAGACAGTGAATTTGCATTCGTTTCCCTAAAACGGTTTCCTTGCCTTTGATCTTTGATCCCAAATTCAAAAACCGTGAATTTGATGTTTGGCTTCACTTTGTCCAATATTTATCTTATGAATATGTAGGATGTTGATCCAAGCAAAAGGCCAGGTGCAGGACCTGATGGTTATTCTTCCTTGAAGGAGCATCCTTTCTTCAGAGGCATAGACTGGAAGAACCTGAGGAAGACACGACCACCTAAGCTCGCAATCGATGCATATGTACTTTTTGTTACATATGTCAATTAAATCTTTACTTTATTCCAGCCTTCATCTTCCTAACAATATCCTCAATCAGGCAAATGAAGATGAAGATGGCCAGGATTCAAATTGGTTGGCACACATGGGAGGTGCAGCAGTCAACCAACAGTCAAACACTGTTGGTAATAATGGTGCCCCATCATCATCTGAAGTGCGCTCCCATATATCTAAATTAGCTTCCATCGACTCCTTCGACTCAAAATGGTAAATCTTGTATATCATGAAATTGATTATGCTCTACAAAAGTCAATATAAAATACAATTGATTATGCTCTACAAAAGTCAATATAAAATACAATGTGGATATGGTGGACACACTACTCTCATTTTTTCCACAAGTAAGAAATAAATGTTGATGGACATATTGCTTAAACAATGTGTCAGGCAAGAATTCCTGGACCCTGGTGAGTCTGTAGTCTTGATATCAAAGCTGAAGAAGATTAATAAGCTAGCAAACAAGAAGGTCCAGTTGATCCTCACTGACAAACCTCAATTGATCTGTGTTGACCCTTCAAAAATGGTGGCCAAGGGAAACATTATTTGGTCTGATGATCCAAGTGAACTTAGTGTGCAAGTATCAGATTCTTCACATTTTAGAATATGCACGGTATTCATCTAAGCTACTGCTGCTGCTTTAGTATTGTGCTGGAATTTGCATGCTTATCACACCTAATTGAGTTCTCTTACAGCCAAAGAAGGTGTCAACGTTTGAGGATGCGAAACAGCGTGCCTGGCAATGGAAGAAGGCAATTGAAGACCTCCAACGCAGCCAAAGGAATTGATTTTCAATTCAAATCAAAACCCTAAAACCTCAAATTAGGCAATGTTAATACAGCACATCCTTTCCACTTGGAGGCCCCGTGCCTGGATGGCATGGAACTTGCTACTCGCTAATTCACACACTGAATGGTGGCCCCTAAGATTTTCCCCTTTCCACACAATTTTGTTTGTCACTTTTGTGAACCGTTGCAGCAGATAGCGTCAAAACAGGCTGCAGTCTGGAAATATTGACACCGGAAACTATTTCATCTAAACGACTTTAACAGTCTGCCATACTTCATTCTCTCTGTTATCTTCTGTTCTAGAGCATCTGTACCAAGAGTAATTCTTTGATTTCGCAAGATATTGAATTTTATGTTAATTACTGTTGACACATAAATTGTCCACAGCTTGTTGGCTCGAAACGCTTGGGCTTTAATCTAATTTCAGTATCCTGATTTCAAGTACAATGCATTGTGAACCAATATTTATATGGTTTTTTATACGCCAAATCAGTATTCTTTTTTCCTTCACATTTGGAGTACTTCACATGAGGCGCTGTATATAACCTTTTTCCAATTTCCATAGCGTTGTAATAAATAAATACTAAAACATTTGTTGAGGTATAGGCAAATGTTGTTTTGGGTGATATCCGGACAAATTCACGACACGTCATGTAGTATATGTTGTTTTGGGTGATATCTAGACAAATTCATCCAAAGAGACTCACGACCGCCTGCGCGGACCTCAGGCGCGGAGCACAGGCGGTCAATGCCCCGCGCCTCTGATTTTTTTTCTTTTCCCGCTCGGGAGGCCCGCGGACGATTCATCCCTGCGGAGCGGAGGCAAACAATGCCAAGCGCCTCGTCTCCACTGCGCCGCCGCACACACCTCCTATCCGACGGAATGCCCCGCTAGACCGGGACGCCTGATGCCATGACCTTCCTGGGGCTCTGTCGCGGCCTCCTCCTCCGGGGGATCTCCAGGCGCTGCGCGCATCGGCCTCAACGGAAAGGTGCATCCATTTCTCCTCGTGCCACCTCCACCCCCGGCGTAGAAACGCTGCGGAGCACTAACGCCGCTGTGTTTTCTCGTTGTTCATGGAAGCAGGAGATTATGCCGGGTGCTTCCGGCGGGACAGGTCACAACACTTCTCGCTCGATGGAGTTGAGGACGTGGCAGAGCAAGGCGTCGAACCGCCGCCGTTATCTCTGGCGAAGAGCCTGGCTTCAGTCGCCGAGGAGTCGGCGGCGGCCGTCCAGAGGCAGAGGAAGCCACTCACGCGGATGGAGCGGAAGCAGTTGGCTGAGCTCCGCATAAAGAAGAGGGTCAAGGCGCAGTACCTCGACAGCAGGTTCTACGACCTCATGGATAAGGTCGTGGCGAATGCTGAAACGCTGGAGGGTGCATACGACATTGTCCGTCTGAATTCGAACGTTGACCTAGCGTCTGCAAAGGATGATGTCTGCTTTGTCACGCTGGCAGAGCAGCTGAGGAGTGGGGAGTTTGATGTCCGAGGAAATGCTTTCTCAGTGGTGGCGAAGAGAAAACGAGGAGGACACCTTGTTCTTCCTAGGCTGAACTTGAAAGTGGTTCAGGAAGCGATAAGGGTGGTGCTTGAGGTTGTCTATAGGCCTCAGTTCTCAAAAGATATCACATGGATGTCGCAGTGGGCGAGGTTATCACTCAGCTCTCAGGTTCATATCTGATGAAATCGGGGTTCCAGATTGGTGCTTTACTGTCCCCTTAGACAAGGAAGTTGATAGTAGTGTAATCTCTAAGCTTATTTCGCTAATACAGGAGAGGATCGAAGACTCCCAGTTAGTTGCATTCATGCGAAATATGTTTGATGCCAAGGTGATCAATTTGGTATTTGGTGGGTATCCCAAAGGTCATGGGCTTCCTCAAGAAGGTGTACTTGCACCAATCCTGATGAACATATATCTTGACAGTTTTGACCATGAGGTATTCAGGATTTGCTTGAAACATGAAGGCCTTGGTTTAGAGCCAACAAATGTTTCAGAAGACCGTGGCTCAAATTTGCGGCGCTGGTTTCGGAGTCAACTTAATGGCAGGGATGAAAGTAGTGAAGGTCAAACAGATTGTCAGACAAAGGTAAAGCTATATGCTTGTAGGTATATGGATGAGATTTTCGCAGCAGTTTCTGGATCCAGAGATGATGCAGAAGATATGAGATCTGAAATGGTTGCTTACTTAAACAAATCACTTTACTTGGATGTTGACGATAAATTTCATCTTATACCAATCAGAAGGAACCCACGGGGCTTGCAATTTTCTGGTGTTGTGGTCAGAGTAGAAACGAAGGAAAATGCTAAACTAAAAGCTGTGCATAAGCTGAAGGAGAAGATTGGTCTGTTTGCTTCTCAGAAGCAAGAGATTTGGGACGCTATGAATCTTAGAGTAGGAAAGAGGTGGTTGGCATATGGCTTGAGAAGAATAAAAGAGAGTGAGATCAAGTCGCTTGGCCTTAGCACCCCTTTGCTGGATCACATTGCACAATTTAGAAAAGAGGGAATGAAGACAGATCACTGGTTCAAAACTTTGCTAAAGGTATGGATGCAGGATGTTAATGCCAAAAATGAGCTAAATGAGGATGTTCTCTTATCAAAATACATTGCTGAACCAGCACTTGCGCAAGACCTTAGGGATGCAGTCTACAACTTCCAGAAGCAAGCTAAACATTACATTTCATCAGAGATTGCTGCAACAGAAGCATTGTTGTCCAATTTAAAGAGTGAGGAATCAACTAGTACCTGCACTAATGGCAGTGCCATTAAAATTAATGCACCTCTTAGCTATATTCAGAAGTGCCTTCATCGCTATGGTATAATTAATCTTGAAGGTTTCCCTAGGCATGTCTCAGCCCTTGTCTTGCAAGATGATGAGTTAATAGTAAGTTGGTTTGCAGGAATAATTCATCGTTGGGTAAGATGGTTTTCTGAAGTTGATAATTTTAAAGAACTTCAGCTTATGTTTGTCAATTGTGTCAGAAAATCCTGCATCAGGACACTATCTGCAAAGTACAGGATGTATGAAAAACTGACAGAAAAGCGGTTTGAACTTGATGATCATGGCATTCCAATGGTTGAGGATTTTGAGGCAATAATTAAACCTTTAGAATCTAGTTATTCCGTGGCTTCTACTGATGAAGCTTTGATGTATGGCATTTTTAGTAGCGGTTTAGTTGTGCTAACACTGTCAAGAGTTATCCCTACTCGACAATCCAACTGCTTTGTCATGGGCTGCCAATCTGCGTCACCAAGTATGTATGTGCTTCATGTGAAGGAGAAACAGCGTTTCCCTGGATGGAGGACAGGTTTCTCGTCATCAATCAATGGGATTTTGGATGGTAAACGAATTGGATTGTGCACCCAGCATATTAAAGATCTATATCTAGGACACATCTCCCTTCAATCAGTTGATTTTGGTTCACTGCTTAGATGACTCGAAGGTGATACCTGTGATTTTCTAATAGTAGAAGGCTTTGTCCTTACTCACATGATAGTAGGTTCAGTACTTGTAAATCTGACATGGTTATGCAATCATAGTATGATTTTCTAGAGACAACTTGAGTGGTATGCTTGTGGACTATTTCAAATAGAAGTTAGGCTACAATTTGAAATTGCTCCTTTGCGGTGAGTAGTTCAGATTTTTCAGAGTTCAATTTTAGTTGGCAGTTCTTCAATATTCTAAAATGTTGTGTGTTGTGCTTGTGTTAGGGAGTTGGTCTCTCTGCCCTCTCCCCTGCAACTTATTCTCTCTTAGTGAAGTGACACACTAGGTGAACCATGGGCGGCGCCTAAGCAGTACCTAGGCAGACTAGATGGCCATTAGGCATTAGGCATCGGCCCCGTTCGCGTGCCCTTAAACCCGGCTTGATCAGGGCCTTGTTTAGATTGCAAATTTTTGCAACCTGGACACTGTAGCACGTTTCGTTTGTATTTGACAAACTTTGTTCGATCATAAACTAACTAGGCTCAAAAGATCCATCTCGTGATTTACAACTAAACTGTGTAATTAGTTATTTTTTTTACCTACATTTAATGCTCCATGCATACGTTCAAAAATTGATGTGATGGAGAGAGAGTGAAAAAAATTAGAATTTGGAGGTGATCTAAACAAGGCCCCGCTTATTTTTTTCATCCGGAACAGTGTTTTTCTCTCATAAATTTCTCCAGCATTCCTCCAAACCATCCAGATTCCTCCAGAATTTAGACAAGCGAACAGGCCCATTGTCTGTCTAGGTAGTTTAGGTGGCTACTTTGATTTTTTTTCTTTTCTCGAACACATAGGACTGTAGGAGAAATGCGTCTCATTGCATTAATTGGAAGAAAATGGTCCAATCATGATTTTCCACTCTTATTTTAGAACAATTTCAGTGATCCACTTATTTATTTGGATCAACAAAGCACAAAAGTTTCTACTTTAATTATGAACCTTATCCCCCCGAGGTCGTGATCTGATGGACACAGGCAGGATCCAGATCCTGGTTATGTTTCTAGTTAATCAATACAATATGAAGAGAGAGCCCACAGGCACTTGAAGCAAGACTTGGCTCTGTGCAGTCATTGTGCTGAAATATAAGCCTTTTTCTTAAGCACATACATCTGTGCAAAGTAGATGTAAGCAGCCAGGCTAAAAGCACTGAGGACGGCAAGAAACCAGTAGAAGTAATCCAGATGCGCTCGGTTTACGTTGTTGGAGAACCAGCTTCCTCCAGTGCTACTGGTCACCATGTCAATGGTGTACACAAGAAAGCTACTGATGAAGTTCCCTGTCCCACCTATGCTGAAGTATAAACCCATGCCCAAGCTGCGTATACTATGAGGCACTTGGTCATAGAACAGTTCTTGCAATCCAACAATGGCGAAAGTATCAGAGAATCCAATCATAATGTACTGAGGGACAATCCACATGAAGCTCATAGGAATAACATCTTGAGGTTTATCCAGTAGGCCATAGTCACTAGCCACCTTGAGCCTCCTTGTCTCCACGAGTGCAGCAACGACGGCCACGGCGGTCGAAATAGCCAACCCGACGCCGATCCTTTGCAGCATTGTGATGCCTGAAGGGTTCTTGGTGCATTTTCTGGCCATGGGCAGGAGGATCCGATCATAGATTGGCAGGGAGACCATGACTGAAGCGCTGATCAAGTTTTGCAGGGAAGCAGCTGGTACTACTATGCTACCTATCCTCCTGTCCAGTGTGCTTGCCTGCTTAGTGAAGAAAGTAATGGACTGTGCAACAACAACAGCGTAAATCAGGCATGTGGCCCAAATAGGGAACAGCTTGAGCAATGCCGTGGTTTCATCATGAGGAAAATTTGCGCTGCCGATGTTGCTAGTATCGCCATCAGATGACGACGGCAGAGAGTTGTGAGAATCATCAGGTAATCTGCAAGACAAAAAAGAGAGTGATGTTTTTTTTTTTGGGTTTCAGAAGAATGGTTGGCTTCAATGGAAGAAGGTCGTTTGATAATAATAAGCTCACTTTGCGCGCCATGGTGCAAGCCATGCCACAAGCGATCTGCCGACTTGTTCAAACAGGCCTCCACTACCACTACTCTTGAGAGGATAGAAGCGGTAAGTCTTGGTCCCAAAAACGAAGAGAGCAAGGCCAATTATCATGGCAAGGCATGGGATCCCAAACCCAAGCTGCCAGCTTATGCTTTCTTGAACGTAGTTCAGTATCGACACGGTGACGGCGTTGCCACCATATGCAGCGAAGTACCACCAGTTGAAGAAAGAGCTCCTTGAGGCCAGTTCTCCAGGGTCATTCTCATCGAATTGATCTGCGCCAAACGCTTGGACGCAAGGTTTGTGGCCGCCCTGACCAAATGCCACCACATAGAGGGACAGGTAGAAGAGAGCCACAGGAACAGAAGACGAATACTTCGACCTGCCCACAGACTCTGATGGCAGAAGAACTGATGAGATGGTGAGCATCGCTAGCCCCTGGAGACAGAGTAGCCACAGTAATTCGATCAGGTTCGTTCAAAGACCCCATATCCAGATTCCAGAATTCAGTTGTTAGCGTTTCATACTATGATGTAGAGGAGGGATGCGCAGACGATGGTACGGTACCGACCGAGCCAGGAGTCGGCGACCGCAGAGCCAAGCAGCGGCAGCAGGAGCGCGGTGCCAAGCCACGCGTTGACGGCCGCGGCGGCCGACGGCGTGGACTGCCCGAGCGGGCCGGTCAGGTAGATCATCAGGTTGCCCAAGATGCCGAAGAAGGCGAACCGCTCCGCCACCTCCACGCCTGAGTCTCGGAGAGCACAAATCATTAAAAAAGTGGTGCGCAATTGCGCGCACAGAGTTTTCGAGTATACCGATGATGAAGAGCGCAGCACGCCAACGGCCGGAGCCGCCGCGTGAGGCCGGACGGCCGAGGTGGTCCACCGCGGAGAGCGGCGACTCTGGCCGCGGCAGGAGTGCCGCCTCCGTCTCCTCCATCACGCAGCCTTGCTGCTGTGCTGCCGTTGCACTGTTCAAAGTCAGTGCGCTGTCTGTGGAGCTGAACCTCGTCGTCGTCGCCGCACCAAAAGGCCTTCCAGTGTACGGAGTAATAGCGTAGTCTAAAAAATATTATTATTGCTCCAACTGCAGAGCGTGTTCCATGCTGATAGTGATAGCCCCCTCCTTCGCTCCTGGTCCTGATCGCTTGGCTTTTCCATGAATGAATAGTTTTTTTTTTCACGACAGCTAAAATTATTATTAGTCGACTTATCCGTCAAATAAATATAACGTCTTCCTGCCATTGCCGTGAATAGTGAACACCAAACGCTGTCTTTTTTTTAATCGAGGTGTGAAACAAACTCTGTCCTTATGTTCTCCGTTCTTTTTCTTTTTCCCTTAAAAATCGACAGATTTTACGTGATTAAATCTGTTAGATTTTCTATGAATACGATTCAGTAGTGACAATTGTAGCATAAATCCTAAAACATAGTTAAAATAAAAAAAATATGTCAACAGATAAATAACAAAAGTCTATTAACAATCCCGGGTTGGTGTTTTCCATTTAAACTGCAAACTCTAGTTGGTGTTGGCTGACCATCGCTCTGCACATAAACCCCTTATACTGTGTCTGTAGTCGCTGTAACAGTGTATATTAGACAATATAAAAAGATCGACAGTGCTAGTGCTCGGAGGTTCGGACGGATACCCGCGCTGCACTGTTTTCTGCGCTCGGCCTAGCACAACCCTGCTCGAGCTTGTATTTCGCACGGCCACGCGGGGCCCGTGCCGCTAGACCGCGCTCAAGGACCACTCGCGCCCTCTCCCCTTCTCACGCTGTCACGCGTATTGCAACATGTGCAACACCAGATCTACTTTGTAACATTAAAATGAAACACTTGCAACATACATCCGAAACAGCTGAAACACTTGCAATATACGTCCTAAACACTTACAAAACACTAAAAAAACTTAAAAACACATGTGTGATATGCAAACATCAAGATGAAACACTTACAACATACGTATAAAAACACCTGAAACACTTGCATATATATATATGCAACATCTCGATCTAGTTTTGCAATATCCAAATGAAACACTTGGAACATACGTTTGAAACAGATGAAAATTTGGAACATACACTTGAAACATACGTGTATAGCTGTCGGTGTTTCGAGTTACCACCGACGAGTAAATTTTTAGTATTGCGCGTCTGACTCGGATGGTGTGCTTAGAGGACACGAGGTTTATACTGGTTCGGGTAGAAAGTCCCTAAATCCAGTTCGTCGCTGCTGCTCGTGTTACTTGCACTGAAAGTTTATAGTAGGGGTTACAAACGGATGAGAGAGGAAAATGATCCCAAGTCTCTGGTGGAAGCAATGAGTGGGTGCTGAGAGCTCGATCGCAGCTCAGTCGTGTGTTCATGTCGTGCTTTTGTGCGGATCTAGATCCGATCTCGATGGGTCGATCCCCCCACTTCATGGGGCGCCCTGCTTTTCCTTTTATAGGCCAAGGGAAAGTAGGGGTTACAACGAAGAAAAAGGAGAAGAATGAGAGAGAGAAGAAGGCCTTCAGGATCGTCGGGTTCTTCTTCTTCACGCGGGTCCTGTCGATCCTATAGATGTCAATAGGGATGGCTCCACATCTTGGCCCTGTTCATCACTGGTGCCATGCGCGGGCGTCGTCTGCTGGTCATGGTGTTCCATTCTATCTCAGCGGACGTCGTGGTGAACTGACGTGCCTGTCAGTGTTCGTACGAGGGTTACGCAGAACAGCACCGGCACGCCCGACGCTGTTCTTGATGTGAATGCTCAGGTATGGCCTATCATGGCCACGGGTTACATCGAGTCGTGCCAGTCTCTTCCCTGGTGTCAGAGTTTTGACCCAGGCCCATACGCTTGGACCTGGAGTGGTCGGCGGCGGTATGGATCTCCATCGGGCGAGACGAAGCACAAACCTGATGGTTGGGTGAGGCGGAGCCCACGGCCTCAGGGTCGGGCGAGGCGGAGCACGAACCGAAGGGGTCGGGCGAGGCAGAGCCCGCCCTCAGAGGTCGAGCGAGGTAGAGCCCGCGGCCTTGGGTGAGGCGGAATGGAACGCCTTGGATCATATCAGGCCGAGACTCGAACGTGGGCCGGGATGCCCGCATCGCTCATGCGCCCGGGTACTGGTCACTAGCGGGCTCATCCTTTTCCATCCCTCACTCTAAAGGTGCTTAGAGCGGTTGTCGAACCCGTTGGTGGGCCAACCTTCGAACTCCTGGGCCTAGACGGGTCGTAGGAGTGTTTTTAGCTCCGTATTCCTCCTACCTGTGATGGGTCGTGGCCCGTTCGAGGAGGCAAAATGTCCAACGCATTTTCTGAGGGGACAACCATTGGTTGCGTGTGCACGCCTCGCGATGAGACGTGGTGATAAGTCATGATAGGCATGGAGATCTAGGCAGGCTATCGGTTTCCTCGCATCCATCGCCCCTATAAAACCAATGGGTTAGCCCTCCGTGTTTCATACGCACGCCGTCATCCTTACCTCCGCAGCCACACCACCACCGCCAACGCTTAGGTTTCCTGCCTCCGCATCTCCGCCGCCGTTGAGCTCGTATTCATCCGCCCCACCTCCAATGGATCCGTGGTGCCGTTCCGACATCACCTTCCACCGACCGAGGAGTGGTTGCTGCTCGGTGACGAGGATTCGCCATCGCTACCCAACGGCTATGTGGTGTCGTTCGCCCAGTTCCATGAGTGTGGGCTCTCGACCCCTGCCCACAAATTCCTTCAGGGGCTGCTGCACTTCTATATGATTGAGCTGCAGCATCTCAATCCCAATGGGATCCAGCACATGGTGGCGTTCGTCGCGCTGTGCGAAGGATTCCTAGGGATAAGGCCCCACTTCGACTTGTGGAGGTATTTCTTCACCGTCAACCTCCAGAAGAAGAGGGAGAAGGGCGGCAGGTAGGAGCTGCACATGCCGATGGGGTGCGCTGGCATCCAACTTTGGAACAATCGGGTCGGTGAGTACCCGTCCATGTGGCTCTCGACGTCCAACAAGGGGTGGCACTCGTAGTGATTCTACCTCAAGAATGATGCCACCGCCCCTCTACTAGAGTTCACAGGGCGCCTGATCGAAGAGGCCCCAGAGCAGTGGCGGAAGTGGGGCGTCCCGGAGAAGGACAAGAAGAAGATCTGAGACCACATTGCCGCCATCCACATCCTAAAGGAGAACGGCCTGAAAAGGTCAAGCGTCATCGGGGCTGACCACATGAGGAGGGTGGCGCCGTTGATGACGCGAGCGCTCCTGCTATACGCGATGGCGCCAGAGGTATCATTCGATGGGACGGTGCTCTCCGAGGGAACGCTCCCTAACTCCGAGATCATGCAACGCATCAAGGAGGCGATGGAGCCTTGAGGGACGACGCGGGTGCCACCCTCGACTTTGTCTACCCGGTGCCAAGGCATCCTCCGATGCGGCTGAAGCCATGCTATGTTGTCTTCGTAAGTTTCCCTTTCTCTTGCATTCTCTTCAATTGATTTCCTAACTCCGTGAGACTAACTTTGATAGGGGCGGGACCAGCTGATGGACCCCATCCTCATGGATCACCCGGCGCCGCTGCCGAGGGATTTGGCCATGAGGGTGACGAATCACGCCGAGGGCGAGCGGCTGAGGAAGGCGAAGGAGGACAAGAAGAGGAAGAAGCAGTGGAAGCTACGGGCGCAGGAACAAGGGGAGGACACTAACGATGACGATGACGATGGTGACGATGACGAGGTGATGGAGGAAGAAGAAACGGTAGCCAACGATATCGAGTGGGACAACCTAGAGAACGAGGATGCCCTGATAGGCGTCAGTTCGTCCTTGTAGGCGTGAGGACCCTTCCTGTTCCATGGAGGGGAGGGCACGTCTGGGGAGCCAGCGTAGGTGGGCCATTCTGACGATGCCCCCTAGGAACCGATAGAGGCAGGACGTACCGTCGGCCTGCCCTAGGAGCCAACAGAGGCGGGCGGCTCTGCCATCGCGCCTGAGGTGCCAGCGGAGGTGGGCGGCTCCATCGTCGTGCCCCAAGATCTAAGGGGAGTGGGGCGTTCCACCAATGTGCCCTAGGAGCTACCAGGGGCGAGCCCCCTGCTCAGGAGCAGGGGGTGGGCCCGAAACGGCCTCATTTCGATGAGGCGGAGCAAGGGTTGGGGGGTTCATCCCCCAAACGCATCTACCGACCGACAGCGCTGAGGTGAGTTATCAATTCCTCTGTTTTTCCTGTTTTAGTCGGATTTCATCGTGACCTATGTTTTTCATCCCTTGCAGTGTCAGCAGGCATCGAAATCCTTTGGCGCTGGCGCCAAAGAAGGGCATCGCCCTCCAATCGGGGTGGCGGCGTTCGGCTGGTGTCGCGCCCTTTTTGTGCAGGAGCGGCGCCAGTGTGACCGTGTCGTTGGCCGGTTAGGCACCGCCCACGGTGGCACCCATGCCCTCGGCAGGATGGGCAGATGTGGGCGTTCAAGGGGCACCTTCAAAGGTCATGAAGCAGCCGGTGATATCCATGATGCCACTGTCGACAGCGGGGCAGACAGGGCTAAAGACCGTGGCGGGTGCCATGCAGCCAGTCATGACCCCACCAACACAGGCGAAGGTAGCAGCAGCCATGACAGATGGGTCATAGCCAGGCACATCCGTAACATCGCCTGAGGCATTGGCACGACCCGTGCCATCGGTGGCCCAAGCGACGGCGCCTGACGTGGGCCAGACGGAGGGGGGCATGGCCGAGGGGTCCCCAGGAGTCGTGGTGCTGGGAAAGAGGTTTGCGTCCACACCGCTGACCCCTTCCATCGTCGGAGGGCGTGTCTTGGCGGGGACGTCATGGTGAGAGGGGTCGGTGGCGCTTGGGGCCGGTGAGGAGTCGTCCCTGACCCTGACATTGGTGGGAAGTGGCTCGCCCATGTGGGGCAAGCCCCTGCTTCAATGGATAGATCCATGAGATCCGGTGTTGATGCTTTTTACCCTTGACA